CACACACACACACACACACACACACACACACACACACACACACACACACACACACACACACACACACACACACACACACATACATGAGATAGCACATGAGAGAGCTCGATCCTTATGAGTTAAGAGTTACGTTTTTAGTTAACACAGGCACAAGATTCTGTGAGTACTGAATTGCAACGTTTGGAAGCCTCTACGGAAAAGTGTTTGAGCGCAGTAGATACGGAATTCGCTGAGATTATCGCAAAGATAGAGAAACGTCGCACGGAATTGCAAGCTGCCGTAACCGCTGCTGCTCGTGACAAGAAACACGTACTTGAAGAACAACATTCTCTTATTGAGGCAGAGAAAACCAAAGTGGAGAGAGAATGTGAAGGATTGCAATATCAGGTACAGGGTAATAAGAATATATTGATATAACGTTATTACTTCTCGCGCGTATTATTTTACAAATGAGATTTAATCTTACAGGTCGAAGTCCGAAATATTACTCAACGTATTAACAGCTTGTCGGATCAGCTTGATGCAGCAACCGCTCTCAGCGAACCTAAGGAGAATGCCTTTATTACATTTGAATTTAATCATAACGACGCTCTCTTTCAATTAGAGCAAGCATTGAATAACGTGGGACGAGTACGTTCTAGTACAACATTACCAGGTATCTTAAAGATTAATAATGTAGTAAAGTTCTCTCGCTTTAAAAAGACTTACTCATTTATTATATGTTTCTTTCAATGATATCAATTTAATATCAAGATATAATATGAATCAGATGCTTTAAAGATATTTATAATACGACGATATTTTCTATTTGTATGCCTTTTGTAACAGGTTTGTGCCGAGCCAGATTGAAGGATCTAGCAATAGTAAAGCTACAAACAATCGTCGTAGTCGAAACGGTAGATTATCACGGTCATCCTCGAAATGTCGGTGGTGATCTTATTAGCGCCGAATTGACGCTTGCTGATAATATGCATGCAGAAAGTCAGAATGTTCCTATTGAGACAGAAGTGAAAGATCTGGAGAATGGAATTTACGAAATTTACTTTCGGCCACCAACTGCAAGTCGATATGTTTTGAAAGTGTCGGTGTTCGAACGACCTATTAAAGATTATCCGCTATTTTTCGATACGACTGAGCACAATGAACCTATTAAAACATATGGAAGACGTGGTAATGGAAAAGATGAGTTTCACCAGCCTGTTTCAGTCGCAGTGGACGATGAAGGAGTGATCTATATTTTAGACACTGGAAATTCTCGTATTAAGGTTTGTTTTTCAAAACAATATAGAGAAACATGGTATTTTACAAAGTATTTAATTCTTTTATTGTTTCAGGTACTCAATTGTGATTTGGAATTTCAAAGGCACATAAACAATGAAGGCTTAGAGGGTCGCAGTTGTACGGGAATAGGTATATCTCAACAAGGTCTCGTAGTCGTGAATTGGCGAACGCGAAAGATTACGGAAATGACTTCATTAGGTGATACAATTCGATCTTTCACGCATAACGCATTTCAAGTTAGTAATTTTTATCGCAAACACACAATACACTTAAATATTTCTTAATTGTGACGTTATTTTTATGTTCTAGGAACCCATAGACATTGCAGTGGACAACAGTTATGGGCATATACTTGTTGCTGACAATGGTCAAAGCTGTGTATTCGTATTTGATTCAGACGGCAAGATACTGTTCCAGGTTAATTTTTATTTACATAAATACATATATAAATTTTCATTGCAAGTTGTTTCGTATAGTCTTCGTATAGTCATCACGAAACATTAACAGGTTGGTAAGAGAAGCACGTTCAAGCTAATCAGTTCTGTAACTGTCGGTCCGGCCGGTGAGATTTTAGTTGCCGATAGCAGAATTCAAGTGTTTTCCGCGAAGGGAGATTTCTCCGAAGAAATATATCCTGAGGGTAAAGGTAAGTTTTATGTATAAAACTATATATTTGTTTGAAATATTGTCTAACTATAAATGAATCGAAAGATATACATATTGCTGCGACATTATACAAAAATAGGAAACATTTTATTGTGTAACAAAGATAATCTTAGTATATCTAATTTATGTATGATAGGAAAAGGTACCTACGGAGGAATAGCTGTAGACGCAGATGGCAAAATTATCGGTACTCGTACAGATAAGGGTCGTAGCATAATACAAGTTCTAAAATTAGGGGGAGGTAATGTCTTAACCGAAATCGATTCACATACCTCGAAATTGCGACGTCCCTCAGGCATAGCTGTGCTGCCAGATAATCACCTAGTAGTGGTGGACTTGGGCAATGATTGTATAAAAAAATATAGGTACTGGTAAAAAGTCATTTATTTAATCATCAAAATTCAAATCGCAAACGGGAAGAAAACTCATTGCGAAAGTACCAAAAGTCAGTCTAATTTAGAATTATTTATTCAGGTTTTTTTTTGTAGAACTTGTAACATCACATATTACGAATGTAATGCCTATGTTTTTATAAATTTTTATATATAATTTATAAATTATTATAATATGTGAGATAAAAAATAGTAATGTCAAATTTGACATAAATTCTTTCTCTATTATCCTGGATTTTATGTCTGATCGATTTCTGTTCAAAACGGATCCGATGTTTCTTATTCTCTTTTAAAAAAGTTTATGAACGGAGACATCGAGATATGGCGATCTCGACTATCAATTTCTCTGTAAACAGCACGGAATTCAATTCTGCATCACTCATTTTTGTGTACTTCGAAAGTTTTATTTTTTTTTTAAGAATTTGGAGTTCTTGTATTTTTTTTCAAAATATCTTTATATATCTCACTTTTATCCGCCTTATAACTTTTATGATTTCTTCGATAATTATACTACATTTTATTATTTTCTAAAATAAAATTTGAATATTTGTTATACAAAATTAAAAATATATTTATAAATTTTTATAAATTTTTTTAAACATTTTAAATAGGTAAAAAAAAATGAACGAATCCGAGATATCTACGATAATAGGGATACAGCATCGAAGTGAGCATAGTAAGGATTATCAAAATAAATTTGATATTACTATTTTTAATTTCGATTTGCTATATATAGTACCATATATATTACAGTTTATAGTTTGCCTTTTCATCTAAATTTATTTAATTTCTTTTGTATTCAGTGTTGCTTTCTCTTGTTTTCTGCATATCTGTGAGAATACAAAGTTCTTACTATTCAAAACAAAATCACTCGAAATGCTCAGTACTTATTGTATGTATACTTTTTATATTTGATAATTTTTTAAGTTATTGCGATTAATATTTAATCGTTTGAATTCATAAAACAACTTCAGTGTTGATGATTAATCTAGATACATCGGTGAATGATAATCCTTTCTTCCTGATTTTATAAAATTAAGTTTAAAAGTTTGTCTTCTTTGCACGGCAGATTCATATATGATAATTGCAATTATAATTTATCATATATTGAATGTTGTAAAACATAATATATGCAAATAACAATTAATTTAATTATTCTAAAATTATAATCTAGGTGTCACAGAATCTTCAATCGAAAAATAATCTTTTTCTTTTCATTATTAGTGAATCTGAAAAGATACACAATCAATAGAAGAATCAATACTTTTAACGATCTAACTGGATTTTAAATGCTTGTATAATTCTATGTGAATTTATATACTACATATATAGTTCTTTAAATCATGCGCCGAAATGATTTTTCAATCTTGAAACGCAAATTTCACTGAACTACCGCAATACAATGCCACAAGTTAAATTGACTAGCAATTTAACAGTAAAAAGATACTGTATTTGTTTCATTAACAAATTTTTTAAAAATATTAGTAAATTTTAAAATAAATTTTTAAATATTAGTAAAATATTAATAAAACATTTTTGTATTAATAAATTGTCTAATTATCTGTTGTCAATTATTTGATATTATATTATATTTTCTACAAGTTTCACATAGTGTGTTTAATAAGAGCAACAAACTTTTATTTGAGAATTGTTACATCAAAAACTTTTTAACGAGTAGATAGAATTTTTTCTCCTACGACACATTATACAAAGTCTTTAGTTATTGTCTGTCTTTTGCTAGAAAACGACAAATTTAATGATGAATATTGTATACGCTCTAAAAAAATTTGAAGCTATTTTTGTTTTCATGCACCCGAAAAGACCGAAAATGTCGCAGGCTGCAAAAAAATCCAAGGTATTTATAAGCAAGCGGATAAAATGGTACGAAATAATAAATATCGTTGATGATTTGTCGCACTCTTCTTAGACAGATTATATAAGCATAAATTTATCTATAACAAGATAAAATTGAATTCAAATCCAGTTATGCGAATATTTATCCTATAAAACAAAACCATAAGTAATAAATCTAAAATTAAAACAATAAATTGATATTACTTTAGACAAAATTTGTCTTTAACTATCTTTTTTTATCAAATATTTTAATTAATATTTGCATTTGATCGATTTAACGCTTAAAGAGATTTTTCAATTGAAAAAAAGTTAATTTTTCTTTATCTAATGTATTTATAAATTTTTTTAATTAATTGTTTATTATAAAAAGATTATATCGTGGCACTAGATTATCACAATAATCTGAACAACTTGTCTTAATTTGTTTCAACAAGGAAAGTATCATTATTCGCAGATGTTATATAGAAATATTATATATATATATATATATATACTGCCGTTTTATATTATTTTAAAATACATCTTTCTATGATAGAATGCAGAGCTTTGCATTACATAAAATCAATCATATGAATAACTTCATCATATGATTGCTTGGATATCATATATTCAGATAAAAAAGTTTCAGTATGAGCATCTTCTTTAATTAAAGTCATGAAAACATTTTTCTTAAATTTTTGAAATTATTAATATTTTTAAATTATTTCGTTTTAGTCATTCTATCTGTTACATTTCTTATACTTTATTTTTTTCTTTCTTTTTTTCTTCTATTTTATTTTCGTAGCATTTATTATTTGCAAAAGTTTCTTGCGTTCCTAACAAACAAGAAATTCGACACTACGTGATTTTTAACAAAAAACGTAGACTATAATTAGTGTAAGATAGCTACGCAAATAACTAGAAATATGATAAAAATTGTACATATATCTTTTCAGTATTATCATACATTTTGATAGAATTGGCGACATGGTTTGTTTATCTAGAAATATTTTTTAAATTTCGTGAAAGATATGATTCTTTCGACAATGATGCACTTTTTTGAAGGCCTACAATCATTCATCATAACTGAATTAAAAGGATAATTTTTATAAATTTCACCGTGCAAATGACTTCATTGTTGAAACATATACATATTTAACAACATATACATTGTTTAAGTTATTCTGGATAAATTATGAGGGACTGGCATGAAAATTTAAGCAGGATTTATTGCGTCGCTCAATTTCTTTTTTGTACATCCAGAAATATTTAATGCCCGTCTGAAGATTACGATTACAATCATGTAGAAGTATTAGCTAAATATCATTATGATGCATATCTACTTATCCTTCGATACTTACTTCTTGACACTGAAAGTGATAAACTTACATACGTACGGCTTACAGTCTCTATTTCTTTAAAAAGCAGATTATTTTTTCACGCAACATACTTATATCCACATAGAATCAATTGATTATTTTTTCACGCAACATATATATATATATATCCATATAGAACCAATTCTTAAAGAATTAGTCTTAATATTTTTATGCCATTTTATCTTTTATGTGACTTATACAAGTTGCATTTTTTAGAATCGTTTGCCATGTTAATATTGACGAGAATTCTTGTTATCGTAAAAATTTTTCTTGGAACATGCAAAGCTATATTGAATCTACATGCAATTTAAATGAAAATGGATAATGATGAGTTTTGCATTTTTGCAACGAATGCAAAGTTTTTCAATAGCTTCCTATTTTTCGGATTGTTTCGTAGAGATACGACATTCCTTGTGAACTGCTTTGCAGAGTGATCATAGGCTAAATTTAATATAAACCATCGCATATTGCTTGTATGTATGTATGAATAGGACGAGTCACTATAAAATGCATTATCACGTTAGTCCTTAGCGAAAAGCATAACAGTGCCTTTATTAAGAAGATGTCACCGTTTATATCTCACGACGATTGATTCATATATATATTTTTGTTCAAATTGATCTGTGTATGTGCTTAACACTTTGATCGTTACGAATCATATCTACATTTTCTTGGGAATTATAACGTTTGGACAAACATATTCTTCACTCACACAGATAGTTAAACCTGCCAAAAGCATATATTGCAAACTATGTGTTACATATAAAGGATTATGTTCCAAAATTCATTGCCAATACTGAAAATCTACTATTTTCAGATTTTGACATTGATAGTTTTGAAACACACAGTCTATGCCAACAAAACTTCAGCAATAAGGGAGCACAGTCTATTGTTGTTTCTAATATACAAATGTATCAGAAATCAAAATAAACCTTGCATTATGATATCATGATAGCAAAGTATACTTTATTTCTATTACATTTCTGTTATATTATGGCTAACAAGCTAATGGCAGAAACCAAACCTTAAAGAGGACACAGAGTCAATAAGAATCTACTCTAAAATCACATGATTAAATTGACTAGCATTTTGCTATTTGGGTCAATCATATAAATGATGAATGAGAATTAAATGAAAAAATCATGGTATTTCTACTATATAAATTTAGTTCTATAATTCCCAGCGAGATATATTTTTACATAGAAGAAATATTTTTACGTATATGTGACATAACGTTCAAAGTGTTAAAATGGAAACGGAGTTGCAGATCGAGAATCAAATAAGAACTTTCGTCGCAGTGATGTAGTGCAATTACGTAACTATATATAAATCTATATTCGGAAATTTCTGGTCCTATTTGTTATTCGACGTATCTAGAGTCATTGAGAACGTAACGCAATGAATTGTAATGTGAAAGTGTGTCATTTTATTCAAAGTCTGATCCTAAAAGCTAAGCCTGATTTATGTTGTATGTCAATGTCCTATTGTTGCCTAAGTGTCTATCATAAGTAGCATACCAATTGATTCAATATTCTTTTTTCTTTGTTTTTTTTTTATATATAAATCGTTCAGCCACCCATCGCAAACACCATGCAAACTCAGACTGATATATATTTCTTGTTTGTATTTTTTGATATTGTTTAATCTAGTCATACGTCAGCTATAACTGTAACACTTATATATCATGACTCCATCAAGCTGTAATATAAAATACATTGTAAATAAATATGTAAGCTTGATTCACTTAGTGGTTTTAATTAAACACAGAATA